GCGGTGCGCGTTAAAGCAGAAAAACATCACAGCACGAGACGACAAAAGGGAGCTTAGACAGTTGGCGTTTTCAATCGCCGCTTCATCGTTCTCCTCATGTAGCTACACTCGTAAGCCTTGTACCTAGGTAATACCCGGACGACATAGTACACAACAGACGAATCAAACAAGCAGGCTTTGGCTTTCGAACCCCGATGCCAGCCAAGCACTGCTTCAAGGATCCGTGTCCAAACGGCTAACAAGGTTACGAGCCGTAGCTCGTTTGCTTGTGGCAGAAATAGCCGTATTCAACGGATCAAGGGGAGAGAAATCGAAGGGAACAGAGACTTGGAAGTAGGGCCTATCATAGGCCGTCAACTGTGTATGCGGACGAGAGCAGCGCAGAGCTGCGAAGGAGCATCTAAGAGGCTCTTTTGGTTTGACTCAATGGGCCGCAAAAAATCGCGATTTGTAATGGCTAAAAACCAAAACTAAAGTGAAGTAGCGATAGTATCGAAACGAACGGGAAAAGTATCGGACACTGTAAGGAGGGGGTGTGGGGCAGTAATAGCCGAATAGTCTGGCGGCGGGTAGCTGCGGATAGAGAGATGAGTATTCAAGGAAAATAGCGACTTATTAAATAAATCGGATTGAATGTCAGCCCGATTCAATAAAAGCATGACTTCGATAAATTAGCGTAAATCTACTAATGACCACAGCTGTTGCTGATAATAGAATTCAAAACATGACTGATATGATGTAACGTAGTACAGAACCTAGTAATTCGAATTATATGTCACTTTCGGCCTGAGCAAACGAATTTTTTTTTTTCTACAATCTTATTTCTTCCTAAATTCTATCTAATCTAAATTGCTACTTGAGTACGCAGCTAATTCATTACGAAATAGTCACGAGATGAAAAATTCCACAGCCAATTTACAGTACCAAATAACAAGGAAGAACAAACTTCAACAACTTTGGACGCCAGTCTGTAATCCACATATACACCGAATATATTGTAGAAGCGTCGAAAGCCTTGATACACCTTTAAACACTGTGCACATCACACACACAAACACATACAGACAAACAAATACGCTACTTTCATAAACAGGTTTTGTTCCCATCGTTGCCGCATCATTATTCTTAGCATCATCGTCATCAGCATTTGAAACAGTAGAAGCAGCGAAGCACCATCCAGCCTAGCTGACAATCCACCCCGTCGTTGAGAAGCGTTTCCTTGCCCTGGCTGAGCAGGACTCGGGAAAAAAATGGGACCGAATAGCCTAAATGTGTTGCCATAGCGATAAGTGTTTCTTTCGGTCCCGCAACGGTTGATCCGTTCGCGACCACCTCTTCGTCAACTTCTTTCGTTCGTCGTCGCCCACTCCGCTCTTTGTAATGCTGCTGCGGTTGGCAGTCCAATGGCAGCAGCGTCAACGGCGGCCGTCCACTATACCTATTAGCTCATCCTTCCTTTTTTTTGCTACTGCTGTCGCGTTCTCCCCAGCAGTGGTGTTCTTTTGTCGGCAACCGCGATCCCCTTCAACCGCGATAATCAAGAACGATAGTTCATCTCTTCTTTTAGATAGCGCGATAAAGGCCGATGAGCAGCACTTCGCCGGTGTTTGCTGTCTTCTAGCTGATTGGCCGGATGCTCTCGCCTGCCGTATTTGAGGGTCGTGTGTCCTTGCCATGAGAGCGTCGCAATAAGCTTCGGGGGGGGGCGTCGATGGCAGTAGGGGGTGTTGGCAGTAGTGGTAAAGAGTTTTTTTTTTTGTTTCGCTTTTGTCTGCCGCTGTTCGGATCACTGGAGCTGCGCTCATTCATACTTTATGATAATCCCAGTCTCGCCAACAGGGGGCGAGGACGGGGCTCTTGCTTCGGACCTGCATGATATCGCGCGCGGCTGGCGACATCGAGTAAGTGTGAGAAAGAGAGACAATAGCTATCAGACGGTTAAATGCACACACAGCCGCACATACGCATGAGCACATGCACCGAGGTATTCATTCATACATACATACATACATGGATAGATAGAAATACATATATCAACTCATTGAATAAGATCCGTAGGCCATATGCGTGCTTATGGTTAACTTCTACCAGCATCATGGCTTTGATTATTGAATTAGTGGGAAAGTTCTGCATTGACGTCTGATCGAGAAATTTTACTTTGTGCAAAGAAAAAGCCACTACTTCAGCGATGAAAGTGGAATCGAGGCTAGATAAGAGAACACCGAAGAGGGGTCGAAAACTACGCTCAGCGAGAGGATCTAGTTGCCAACAGCAGCTCAAGCCATCGATTCGTGCATACTGTACAATATTGTAGTGATGAACCCTATTTGGAAACGAGAATGCACGAAATTTAAATCGATGTGTTTAGTACAGTCGATTGGCTTTGAGCGTTCTCTCAAATGCTCTAACTCTCCATTGTTAATGGCGATACTAGCGAGAGCAATGACAGTGTGGACCCCCTGTCGGATTCAGCAAGAACGAAAGCGTAGGTGTTGAAGCAACGCGTAAACGATACCTCTGTGAATCATTTGGAGAAAAAAAAAAAAAGAAAAAACTACTGACCGCTTCACGGACTGATCCGGCCGAGTGTAGTTGACAACACATAGACGAAACACATAGTGACACTCGCGCATTGGTTTGCCAGTTTACTCTTCTGCTCATAGAGACAGCGCAGCAGAGATCATTTCAGCCTGAAACGTAGTAGCAGGTAGAAGATAGTTATTACGCTCTTTAGTTATACAGTAATGCTCCCTGCACTTCGTGAGTATTGTGATCAGTAAGCTATTCTATTTCTCGCCACTGCCGTTCTCATTGTGCCTCTCTCTTATTCCCGACAGACGACATATTGCGGGTCCTTCACGCAGACATCGGAGCTAACGCGATGGCAGCTTCGACTGCGAAACACTGAAAATACATACACTTATTTAACTGACAGCGCTGTGCCACGTGCGATACCGACCACTTTGTGGTGTTCAAATGTCCCGGTAATGCTAGAAATTGTCATGCCTCTTGGGCATGACTCTTTAAATCTTCTATTGTAAAGTACTTCGCTATGAACATCACCGCCATTCTCGTCAGTGTCTCTATCATGAGGGCAGCTCGTTCTTGTCGGATTTCAGTGCGCTGCCAGACCGCAGCGCCGACTGATGCTGGTGCCCGCGAAAGGATAATGGGGAGAAAGAATGCTTGCGCCTCTCGTAGCGGCCATTACAACGACTACTACTTTGGCTTCTTGGGCGCGGCACTACCAACCGAATGACACTGCCGTTCAGTGGACATTCGGCTCCGGCGCTGGGCCGCTTCGGTCCCAAATCAGGCTGGATACACTGTGTGCAGCGCGTAGACCCCACGGGACAATCTAAGGGCGATATCCATAATCGGATTCCCGCTTTCATGATGGCCGCGGCGGTACAGGGGGTCCAAAGGTGGTCACAGCAGCGTAGCAGTTTGCGGCTGCTCGAACGCCAATGACCAAGGTAAAGCTTTAGTACTTGTCGAGCGTTTCGCTTTCCAATCCAACATTGTCGGGCGTGAAGCCCGCGGCGTCCGACCTGGCTACATTAATACACGACGCTGATGGAATCGGTAGGTGCACAATAAAGGCGACTGATGCGGCTGAAGACAATGGGATTGCTTCCCCCCTTCCCCCACAGCACCAACATCAGCAGCTGGATGTGTTGTCTCTGTTGTTGCTTACCGCATACTACTCACTACTGGGCGATTGTTTGGTCCTTTCCGACACTGAGGAGTGTCCCTTGCTAAAGCTCCTTTCGACGATGGGGAATCCGTTTGCAGCGTGACTGGGTTAGCGATTGACTCCATCGTCAATCTTAGATTGCGTTCACGGGTTCGCCGTAAACAGGAAAAAAAGAAGGAGCACGAGCTCAACCTTTCTGTAACTACGAGCGAACCGGTACGGGCTGTGGCAGTGGTCACGACGCGACCGCAATAGAAAGCTATCCAGGGTCAAAATGGCGGCGGCGGCGGCGGCGGCGGCGGCGGCGGCAGCTGCAATAGCTATAGTAATTGATGGTTGATTACTGCAGGATTGGTAACAGAGTCGCGTATGAGCTGACTTGCGGCTCGGGCCATAGACCACACAACAATTCGTTCTAGCATACATTTAATGCTGGTACTTCAAGATATAATAACGATCGGAAAAAGGGCACCGTCAAACGGCGGGGAACAAATAGAAATAAATGAATCTATCACTAAATTGCAAGCAGACGACGCAGCGTCATTATTCGTACCTTCTTAAAACATTATTACACTGTTGTTGGTCACAAGCATTGGTCCATATGTTAAACGACATTATGCAAATTTCAATTTATCTTCTTGAAGTAAAATATCTTCTACGACGATTACTGCTTATGATTCATTTCGCTGTTTTTGTTTCCTGTTATTTGTTTATCGGAACGCTGCGAGCTTCCACAAACGCCTGACACGGTTTTACAATCGAAAATGAGTCGAAAACCCACAGCAAGCTAGTAACTGTTTCCTGAAAAACCCAATAAACGAGGGCTGTTGCTGAGGTGAAGTGTAGCATACTACACGCGTTCCTTGAGCTTCGTCAACTTAGTTGTTCATCATTGTACTCGAAAGGTTAATTAGTTGGAGAATCGGCCCTGTTAAAGGGCATTGTCTGGACTCTGGCTGGCTACAGGTTTATTATCATTTTTCGTTGCATTGGCCATCTTTCACGATTCGTTCTCAATCCGCAGAGCGGTCTCATGTACCAGTATTCATTGGGCCATAAATTCGCAGGTGTGCTTCGCTAATGACCATTTTGGACTGATTTTTGTGCAAACAGCGCCCTCTACAAGTTGTCCTAGCTGGCCTATTTAACGTCGCTATAGAGAGATCGATGTGCTATTTATTCTTATAGATTGCGTAGGCCTGCCGTCCTCTAATCAATACAGCTGTACAGGTTTCCGATATACTATACAATTTCGATGTCAAATGGGACGCTAATCGTGGTTCTTTTCGTTGATCTGTTACAGGAGCATCCACGGCTAGGAGGGACACCTTTGGCGATGCTGGCCGCTCAGTGCAACAAACTGGCCTCAAAGAGCCCCCCACCACTGGCAGACGCTGCCGTGGGTAAAGGCTTTCACCCGTGGAAGAAAACGCCTGGAATCGCTCCCGCACCACTCACCTCTGCTGCCACTTTACTGGGGCAACCGGCCCCTGCATCTCCACCGAATTCACTGCCGTCGCAGAGTCCGCTATCTACGCCGCCTGGACGTTCACCTGGTGGAACTCACACACCAACGAGCGGTTACAGCATGCCATCCGCAGCCCCGGGTCGGCCTGATTCACAAGGTGGGGGTGGTGGTGGCGGCGGCGGAATTCTCACTGCGGGGCAAACCCAAGTTCCGTCTTCTTATTCTGATAGCCTGTTCTATCCTGCACAGAGCGTGGCCAGCAGCGTTGTGTCTAGTCATCATTCGCATGGCACCGGTCAGGACAGCCATCATACCGGGCATCCATCACATCCAGCCAGCCAACTATATGGCCGTTCGGCCTACGAATCGTGGCCCTTCCACGTGGGTCAGACACAGGTCAAGAGCGAGGTTCCTACTCCCGCGACGACGCCGGCCAGCGCTACCGCCCCGTGGTGGGACATGCACGCTGCGTCTTCCTGGGGCGGCCTTGACATGGGCGTATCCGCATCAAGTATGGGTGGGATGGCGCCACAGCTCCCGACGAGTTACCCTCAATCCGACTACGGCTCGCCTTTCGGTACGACTTTGGCGACCGCTGCGCCCGGCCTTCTGGCATCGTCAGCCGCCAGTAACCAGCTCCTGCAAGACACGTACAAGACTATGCTGGGTTCGCCAGGAGGCCCCGCCGCTCTCGGCTCGACCTCATCAGTGTCCACTGGCAGTGGCACGAGCGGCTCTTCGTTTCTATCCTCGCAGTCGACGGGCGTGACGTCTTTGGCCAGTGTACCGTCCCCGCGGTCCCAGCGAAGGTACACTGGAAGGGCGACGTGTGACTGTCCCAACTGCCAGGAGGCGGAGAGACTTGGCCCCGCTGGCGCCCACCTTCGAAAAAAGAATATCCATTCGTGTCATATCCCCGGCTGTGGGAAGGTGTACGGCAAGACCTCGCATTTGCGGGCCCACCTCAGATGGCACACTGGCGAGCGTCCTTTTGTGTGCAACTGGTTGTTCTGTGGTAAGCGTTTCACTCGTAGCGACGAGCTTCAACGACATCTAAGAACACATACTGGCGAGAAAAGGTTCGCATGCCCTGTGTGCAACAAGAGGTTCATGAGGTCCGACCACCTGTCTAAGCACGTCAAAACCCACAACGGCGGCAACTCCGAGAAGAAGGGTTCGTCATCAGGTTCGTGCTCCGACTCCGAGAATTCGCAGTCTGAGCCGCAATCGCAGGGCGGCCTATTGGGTAACGCGTCACCAACTCCGACGCCAACGGCCGCGCATGGCCTAGGCACCGGACACCAGCTGATGGCATCGCCGCCCCTGGGGGCAATTAGCCCGATGAGTCCGGCCCTTAGCCCCCTGGCACTGCCAGGGCACCATCACTCGGAGCCGCCGCCGCCCCCCCATCCCCATCTGCTCATGGCGGCACCCGATCATTTTGCGCCGCACATGCGGAAATAGTCGATAGGCAACGGCTTACGAATGTAAACGCTAAAAAGAAAGTAAATATATAATGAGGAGCGTGATAAATGCCACAGTGAGTCGATCAATCAGGGGATCGAATTCATTCATGGAATTGATCGACCACGAAAACAACGACGTGTTCCAACAATAAACAACTCGTACCATCACCATCACTATGGCTGCTACTAGAACGAATCGCTAAAGCTTGTTGTTGTTGACCACCATTGCTAGCTACTAGCTGCATGTATATTATCTAGCTGGATCGAATCGGGAGAAATATATCTTGGGGAGGTTTTCGGGGCATGTGTGGGATCAGCAAGACGTGAACAGTCCGGACCCACTGTGGGCCCCCGCTGCGAGTCCGGCACCGCGCAGACCAGCGACCCCTTCTGGGAATATTACAGGACGGAACGACGATCTTTTAGCAGACGACGACCACAACAACAACTATTTCGTCAAGTGAAATAAAGCGGAAAGAAAATATCTGCTGCCCGTCCTATGAAGCAAACGAGCCGTCGATGTCCGATCTAGCTCAAGTAGCAGGCGACGCGCTTAACGCTCTTCATAGAACTTCCATCATCCTTTGATACCCGTTGCCCTGGAGAGTAAAACTAGAAAGGGCAGATATGGCAACAACAGCAGTCGACAACAAGCGACATCATAAAATGCGTGTGGGCATGGAATAAACAAACCTAAGCCGCCATTGAACAGAAGACTCATTGCGTGATCGGTCATCACAAACAGACATAAACAGATGCATACACACATCCGCTGTACAGTGAAGACAAATTATAGGGAGATATGAATATATACATAGGCATATACATATATATATATATATATATATATATATATATATATATATATGAATAAATCTACATAAATATAAATATGAACGTACACCAACCGGAAGACTCGTCGTCGCGATAGATCGTCGAAGGAGGCCATGCGAAAAGCCTGCGATTCGATATTACGACTGTTTTTATCCAGCTGTGTCGGTGTTTACATGACAGACCGGAGGATGCGCACATGTGCAAACAGCAAAGGTTGTTGGCGTTGTCAAGAGTCAGAATCAAGCGTTAGAGGGGTGGTGTTCCCTCGTGTTGAGCAATGTCGTCGGCTTAGCAAATCGATTAAGAACAGCGACAATGTTCAAGATAGAAGCACAGAGGATTCTGATGAAATGTAATGAAATTGGTTCGAAGAGAAAGCACGTGTTGTGTATATAGTTACCGTCGGGGGCGCTAACGTGACCCGTTAGATGTCTCGACTAGTTGCAATAACTTATTTAGGGGCGAGGAAGGTAGAAAAAAAATAGATTGTGTATGTATAAGGCAAATCCAGACGAGAGCATGAGCACAGATCTATTGAGAGTAAAAAGGAGCGATAAAGGGCTAGATGTTATTGATGTGCTGCTAAACAAACAGAGATTACGAATACAGAAAAATGTGTCGAGCCGGCGAAGCTATGGCGACAGCGAAACGAGTCGACAATACTAATTAGATGAGGAACAATAATAACATTTCTATAAAAACATATATTCCTTACAAGCGGTGAGCCATCACTGTATAAATTCTGATTATCTTTCCTGTTCAGGATATGCGACTCAGAGGTCTCTAAAGACTAGAAACGAACGAACTCAGTGATTTTATTCTATATTCTCTACCTACGAACTATAAACACAAACAAATCTCTTACTTGCGATCGTCTTCTACATTGCTAAAAAGATTTCGCAAGTATTTGAATATTTTTATCTGACACAGTCTAGTATTTAACTTGAATAAATGCTCTGATCCATAAATGAAATTGTTCTGTTATGAGTAGGATTTTGTCGTGTCTCACGAAACGCAAAAAGCTTCGCCGGTGTCCGACCGATCTCAACTGAAATAACTTGATCCGAATACTTCGGATCGAATCGACATTTTCCTTCATTTTTTTTTTTCTCACCCTAAAGTGAATCCCTGCATCCTTAAATTTTCATCCTTTTCTTATAAAAACAAATGTTTGACCTGTTTGTAAATTCAAACGATAATTTGCAGCGGGCAATGCCGGACGAGCAGCGGCCGTTTAATCGCGCAGCGCACGTTTAATCCGTAATTAATAGCTCATATTTATATTTTTTAACGGGAGTCGAGGACAGATTGAAGGTGTATGAAGTCGATCAGAAAGGATCATCCGTAATACTGACAACGACGGACAGTCGCTACCAGAATCGCAAAGACTCGAAACAGACCAATAGATACACTTGAAACTGATGAAAAGGAAAAGTCTGAAATAAAAAGTGTTCAAAAAAAGCGCGAAGAAATGGCAGATTGAAGGAAAAACGAACGGGTCTGCAACGAGTAACAGCTCAATATCAGAATTTAAATACAAATTGAACACGATCCTGCCCGAATTGATGATTTCTCTGTATATAGTAGTTCGACTTAGCCCGTAGTTCACCCTGTGCCCGTTCCATCCCGTCCCAATTCGCCGTTTTACAATTAGCTTTTCATTGTTATTGCGCTCCTTGATCTACCCTCGACTCATATATTTCGCCTGTTTTGTTGCCTCTCCAATGCGGTCTCCCCCGAAACTATTACGAAGTGGTGATGATTTACACGACGAAAAACAGACGATGTACAGGTCTGTTAAGGTGAAGCTGATCTACACATAGCGGAATATGAGGTCGCGCTTGGAAAGACTTGCTGATTGAGGTGTTAAGCTGAAGCCCCCCCACAGTATGACGTGGTCCTGAGCCAGCGTTGACTCTCTGACCGCCTGGTTTGCTGTCATCTGTAGAAACACACTGAATGTATGTACATAGGACATAGCTAGTGATAGAAATATATAAATATTGATAATGCGAGAAAGAGAATGGAGGAAGTAAAGCCGAAGGTTGAAAGCCAGCGTTACGGGCCGTTATCCGTTTCTCTGTCGGGCGAAATATTGGTAGCCGACCCTTTGGCTCTGACCGTCAATGCTTAGTGGAAGCTCGGGTCAAACCAAATAGTCCCGCGTCAACAATGGTGTACTTTACTAGGGATCAGACATAGACGACGGGCAAAAACTGTCTGTCTTCAACAAACAAAAGAAGTGTGACTCTTCCGTCTCCGTGGTAAATAGAAAAAAGGTGGTGTTAACTGAAATAGGCCTATAGGCGCAGATGCTGTTGGACAGGACAGTTAAGAGGCAAATGGTAACTTGAAATTTTGGCTAATCATGAACAAAGGGTATTGGTGAAACAGATCAATTGGCCATATCAGTAATAAAATGATCTATTAACATAAACTGTGCTTATTCAGAGTTTCATATACCAGTCAAGGGAGCCGGAGCGGCACGAAGTACGAAAATTCATGACAAAGATTGTAAAGGTAATAAGTTAAATATGACGACGGCGAGGAAAAATTATCTGAGGACATAGAAAAAAAAAATGTATGACACGGTTGCACTGAGCTTTTTGTGTGTGAAGTCCAAGTAATAAGATGTAACAATGGTAATATTTACCGAATTACTATATAACAATATGAGTGAATAAATAATTTTAAAAGGCATTAGTAAGCTGTCTTTAATCAGCCATTCGTTGATGTGTGAGTTGTTACATAATTGCTTCTTTTTATGTTTTTGTGCTGTTTTTTTAGTGTATTTTTACTTCTTTTGCATGATCTCAAGGGGGTCAGTATTTCACTACTATTACTGCTTCTGATATAGTACTACTATCTAATCATTCTATCTTGAATTTGTTCAAAATCTTCATTATGACTAAAATACAACGAGTAACTTTTTGTGCTTTCGATACATATCTAGATTTAATGGCATATTACTTGTATTTCTCTTTGTTTTCACAAAATAGACAATGTTGCTGGAATAGGCTGATAGAAAAAAAAAAACGAACTATTTATGTCCTGCGTTGTCCATAGGGCATAACCTATTTGATGACAAGATAGTTTTTAATAAGGAGCTTATAGCGCGAATATATATATATATATATATATATATACCAAGATATAGAGAGAAGTGCTCAAACGGCAAACTTAACGACAATTTTCAGAACAGTGGCTGACTTTTGCATCACAACGGATCACAAACATTGAATTAGCGTCCTCAATGATGCGAGATCCTTCCGATCAGAGGTGTTATGATACAAGTCTTAGGTTGCTACGTGGTTAGCTAGAACAGCTAGAACTCACAATTCATGGCTCAGAAACACGTCAGCTGTGGTCTGCTCTTCAGTTGTTTTTTCTTTGAGTTTTCAGCAGACTCTCGACACTCTATATCCTATTTTCTTTTCCTTAAAGGGACATCCGCCATCCTCGATTTGATTGATTTAATTTGACTCTGAGTGAATCGCGGGAAAGGTAAAGCCGAAATAAACGTGTGCCCATCGTCAGCGACTTCAACCATTCTCATCGCGGGTTCGACCTCCATCTTAACCATTTCGTATGTACACGTATCCTTTGTAGCGACTCTCTGGTCTAGGAAACGAAAATCGTCCACTCAGCCAGTGGTCCTTCTTTCAGCGGCTGTTTCTTTCAGACCATGTAGCTAGGTCGGCAGGCATATGCACGACTGTATATATGTTTCAGTGTATCTGCGTCCGTTTGGTTGTCTTTTGGTGCGTTGGCCCGTCGAGCCTTCCGTCTGTTTCAGGGCCTCACGAGTTCCACAGCAGCGACAGCCGCCATCGCCTCAGCGGCGGTCTGATTGTAGGTTGTCACTCATTTCTCGGCGGCCGCCGCCGCCGCCGCCGTCGCCGAGCGTCGTGCGCACTATCCCCCGTATCCCCTTTTCTCCCGTTCGCTCGTATTCGTCGCTATATAGATTTTGCCTGTTTGTCTCTCGGGCTCCCTTGGATTATGGTAGCGTCTAGATCAAGCACATTGTCATCGTCAGTACCACTAAAGCTAAATCAATGTAGCTGCGAACCCCAAAGAATTGTGCATGCATAGAACCGTCAGCCACTCAGCCAGGCCGACAACCAATACGAGGGAATTTACGAAAGACCATGAAACCAAGCTAGCTCAGTGTTGCCCAGCTCCTCTCAACTTTAGACAGACGTGTGACTGCGAATGAAGAAGCGAACAATATTTCCCCACTCACTCCCTTCAACACAAACCGAAGTGAGTGTACGGAGCAGACGAGAGTCTTCCCTCCGCCTCGTACCTCGAACCCCCCTAGTTGCGGAATGGCCAGCCACAATTTGCTGTCACCATAGTTTGTACAACAGTTGTAACCGCTGACACATGCTGCTACAACATTGTATTTATGTGTTAGAAGTTCTGCTAGTACCGCTGCTATTGTTGCGCTCAAGAAGTTCCTAAAGTTTTTCATATTTAACTAGCCCAACGCTATGGGGTGTGTCACTATTTACAAATACTGTGTGTGGGGAGAATACGTGTTGAAGTAAAGAAACACATTGACCGATTGACACTCACACATAAACATATGGAAATACACAACGAGTTACATTTTGATCAGACTAAAACAGAGACGAGTGAAAACGAGACAGTCGAAG